ATTTTAGAAGTAAATTCGTCTAAACTACCTCTTAATAATAATTCAAATTTATATGACAAATATAACCTTTAATACTATTAAAATTAATCTTATTTATATATTTTGAAAAGTCTTTTATATGAACATACTCTTCATAAAAATCTTTAAAATAAATACTTAAAATCTAATTAATGGTTTACATTGATTTTGAAGTTATCATCAATTCAATTACAAGATCTTTATTATTACTTTTCTACTTGAAGATAAAACTTGTTGCAAATATGAAGGATGATAGCACAAAATATTCATGTGAGTACAAAATATTTTATATTAGAATATTTACCAATTTTCAAAGTAACATCATAATATTAATCATCATTCAATAGTTCAATATAATTTTGACTCAAGTTTGAAAGAAATTTCATCGATCTTTTAGTAAAATTTTATTCTGAAAAAAAGGAATTATTCTGATAGAATCTTTTTTCATCAATTTTTAAGGTAATTAATACCATAACTAATAATTAATTGGGAATAGTCTATTAAAAATTAATTACATTATGAATTATAATTTTATTTCTAGCTGGAATTATAAAAGTTATACCAACTGAGCAAATACATATAATATGTTGTTAGAAATAAAAATATATTACATACGAATATAAAATATAGTAGATTAATTAATTGTTCAAATAATGATATCAAAAGAAAAGTAATCTAGAATCAAATTTAATCATTATTAATAATTGACCAAATCATTGCAATTAAAAAATAACCAGTTTATATTTTTCCTATAAATTTCCAAACATTAATTTCTTATCATAGTTGATTTATTTGTTAGAAAATATAAATTTTAGATTATTGTTTCTTTTTTATACAGTCAGTTTTTTAGGTAAAATTGCGATTTTCACCTTCTATATATTTATATTAATAATCAATTCTTTATAAGGACAATATTTCAGAATTGGAATCACGCTAAGCCCTGTGAAGTGATTATCTCAATAATATTCCATTGAATTCTTTGGTTTTTGATAGTGTATCAAATTAAACCTCATTTTATGTGAACTTATTTCTAAAATCAAATTTATTGAGAGTGGCATGATATAATTTAAATTGACCTCTTATTTTGTGAATATTTTGTAAAAACTCAAAAGTGTACCTTAATTTTAAATCCCAGTTTAAAAATCTTGAAGTGAAAAAATTCAAGGACAGATTAGGGTTAAAAGATTCTTCAATCATATGATTAATTGGATAAACTCGACCAGGAGATTAAGCATAGAGCAATAATTAAAAAAATGATGCTTGCTTATAGAGAAACTTGTATGGCACATCTCAAACTCAAAATATACATATATACATATAGTTGTTGGGGCCATGTGATTCCACTTTATATAGTGTTAGCTATGGCCGTTCCCAAAAAGGAAGGAATAAGTATAAATGGTTAATATTAATATCAATATTAATATCAATATTGATAAGAACAACGGTTATTTATATATTATTTTTTTTAAAAAAAAAAATTGGGACAGAAGAATCACATGAATAAATAAAGTTAGTTTTTTATAAATTTATTATGTAATTAAGTAAAAAATTAAAATAAAAAAATAATGATTAGTTATTCTAATGATTACGATTACTAATATTTAAAGTAATGATAAATACCAATAAATCAAAGAATTCGTCACAAAACCTATGCTGCGGCAATGAAAAGCGATAATTCAAGAATAGTGAGAATAATAATAAAATTAAAGAACAATGCATTAAAAAATAAATTTTAGTCACCTTATTCGCCACCGATCAAATATCCGGTCTGATCTAACCTAAAACCGCCTAAGAAAAAAAAATAATTAATCAAATAAATAGATAAAATAAATAAATTAGCAATCAGTACTAATTACCAAAATAAGAAAAAGAAAAAAAAAAATAAATCAAAATAAATTAGTCAGCTTACCTTCGCCGCCCGGACGGTTCCGCTCGAAGGTTCTTAGCCTAAGAGAAGGGACCGATAAAAACTAAAATAAAAAAATAAATAAAATAAAATATTAAATAAAATACATCAATCTAGAAGGTTATCATGATAAGTTATGTTAATTATTTTGATTTAAGCGTATTCAATGAATCCTTGAATGAACAATATAGTAGATTTTTCTTTTTGATCTAATTGTTCAAATCGATCGTAAGATATGACATAGAAGAAGATGGTCAGTGGAGTTTCGCTTATATATTATTCGGCTGGATATTTATTATTGTACTTTTATTTTATAGAAATTTATAAATAATCCTTCTTTTAGAAATTCAATACATTCAGAAAACTTATCTTTAAATTGTGCCAAATTTGGAAGAAGTCATCCGGTTTAACGACTAAAACCATGGTTAAATCTTAAAATACCAATTTTTTCTTGCAAAATGTTTTGTGAAAAAATTGCCCATGACGAACATATTCCGCAACAAAGCAAAATCTTTTTTGGAAATCGTTTTTGGTAAGCAAAAAACATTTATATTCTCGTCAAAATTTGGGAATAAGCCACGAATCAGTGGGTATATCATTTCTTGGACGTTCTACAAGTGAGATCAAAGAAGAGACATCTTAGATCCTGACAGGATATTTCCTACTACGAAAGAGTAGTTAATGTTTTTATGAAAAATATTGTTAATTGGCGTAAAAAAAGTTTCTGAATAGTGTTAAAAAGATTTTACCACAATTGTTTGATCACAAAATAGAATATAGTCCTTTTTTTTAAATATTTCATAAATCAATTCTGTCAAATCTTATCAAATACTAACTTAGAGCAAATACGAGTTCACGTTTTTACGATTGAACTTGCGAACTAACTCCCATGAAAATTGCGTAATGGTACATTGTTTTTTAAAGTATAGTAATAACTTGAATTGCCATATATAATAAATTCCTTTTAGATACTGGTAAGTATGGAAAATTTTGTTATGATGGGTCGGGATTTTATATTTCCATAGGTACAAAGAAGTTGCACACGTGATCAGTAATTTAACTAACATGATATTGTGAAAAATTCTATAAATGATTATGCCCTTCGATTATTAATTTCAGATTCACAACAGACAAAAAAAATTTTAAAAGAGCAAGCAAAAGAAAAGAAATTTTTTTCATATCTTGATAGAAATGGCTTCGTTACATAAACGAAAATTTTATCACGAGTTGTTCTATTCCATCATTCATTATTTAACTATAGTTAAAATAATCTAATACATATTTTATAATTTTATTTATAGTTGATATAATTTATTTTCTTTAAATCATTCTAATAAAACATTTATAATATTGAATTTTATTTTAATGACTATAAATTTATAAATATATTTATGGACATTAGGGAAAAAACTAAAGTAGTTAGTTATCTTCCTTGATACATATGTATTAATAATTAATAAAGTCGGATGATATATTGGTTTTTTTTATAAGACTCGACCAGTTATAAAGATAGCAAACATATGGGAGGTTTGTTATTAAAATCGATAGGTAAATCATATGATCCGTAACGTGATTTTAATAGCAAACCTCCGATCAGACCGATCAGATCTATATAAATTGTGAAGTAATCCTTGGACGTTCACCATTTAGGGTGGGCTGTTCTATCGATTCCATTTCGGCTCCTCTTCTGCTTTACTTGACTCTTCTTAAGTATTGTGTTAGGTTAAATTTATACTAAGATTTTGATCAATTAAAATTTTTTGACTGGCAATCCGACTCTTGTAATTCAGAAAAACACTGAATTTATAATCGGTTCCAGAACCGATCCTGAGTCGTCTTTTTGCACCTTCCCCATCCATATCACCATAATAAATACTCTAGCCAAGATTTAGAACATATTCTCTAACATGGAATGGAGTAAATTTCCATAATACCATTGAAGACCATATATCACTACACTAACTGAAGTGTAATATTTATCTCAAACCTTTACATTTAATTAAATTATCATCAACTAGTGATTATATTTCGACAATTATTAAATAAATATAAATTTTTTTGAATGATATCAATAAAATTTCCTCACTTAATTTGATGAGTATTCATTTCTTATCTTTCAGATGACCAATCGAAATTCAAATGGCATTGTATAGAACACAAAATTTCTTTTAATGAATCCATTCCAATATGTGATAATAGAAATTCATACCTGCTAGTCAAATTAGATGATACCAATTGACATCAATTAGATCATTACAACCGGATTCAAATTAGAAAAATCCTTTACTATCATAAAAATAAAGTATTAGCATCAATATAATTGATCACAATCGTATTATCTATTATTTTTTAAATTAATGAAATTTGGCGATCCTTTTAATATCTCTAATGTATCATTAGGGACACTGCGGAACAGTGATCCTGTAAATAACAACGCCCGTGATATAAATGACATCACGTGTTACTGACAATAAATAAAGTTTATTGTAATCAATTTTTTTTTTTTTTAATTTACTAATATTGCCCTAAAGCTTATAAAGTAATACATTACAATCTAAATCATTTATAAATATTGAAACTTAAAAAATAATTACATTTTATCATACAGAAAAAGCAAAGAAAAATTGACTTAACAGTAAGGTTCCCAATACAGAAACGCAAATAAAGTATAGAAACATGAATCTAACCTCATGCCTACACGTTATTGTTCCTTACTTTGACATAAGACATAACCGCATTTATAGCCTAACTATACTAAAGGAATGAGACACGAAATAGCTCATCATTACCAAATATTAATCATATATCACCGATAATTTTAAGAAAGATTTAACGATACTTTGTTATTATTTGATCACAAATTTTATTAATCGATTTTTATAAAAACAATTTTAGCCTATTTCTTGATTTAGCTGTAATGACCCGTTAAATAATAATTTTCGTTATGTTTTCTGAATCTCATTATTCATCGATCGTCATGATACTTAACATTTTTTGTAACTTCATAAGTTATCAATTTTATTATACACAAAAAATATATACAAACTACACAAAAGCACGGCGACTATAATCAAACTCATTGTAACTCATAAGCTGTGGCTGTTAAGTTCGTGTAAACTTCTCGTTGCACTTGACGGGACTATTGAGAAAGTTATTATAACAACGCAAAAAACAAACGAATTATTAAGTAATTAATTATTATTTGCACAGTTTTCTCGATTTTCGGATTGCTATTAATGGAAAAGGATTTTAGTAAATAAAAAATAATAACATTATTCATTGCATTAATATAACTTACATCTCTGGAGGTTCAGGCTTTATTGGTGGTTCAGGCAATTTTGGTGGCTCAGGCTCTTTCGGTGGTTTAGGTTCTTTCGGTAGTTTAGGTTCTTTTGGTGGTTCGGGTTTTTTCGGCGGTATAGGTTCTTTTGGTGGTTCGGGTTTTTTCGGCGGTTCAGGTACTTTCGGCGGTTCAGGTTCTTTCGGCGGTTCAGACTTTTTTGGTGGTTCAGGTTCTTTTGGCGGTTCTGGTTCTTTTGGCGGTTCTGGTTCTTTTGGTGGTTCAGGTTCTTTTGGTGGCTCAGGTTCTTTTGGTGGTTCAGGCTCTTTTGGTGGTTCAGGTTCTTTTGGCGGTTCAGGCTCTTTTGGTGGTTCAGGTTCTTTTGGTGGTTCTGGTTCTTTTGGCGGTTCTGGTTCTTTTGGTGGTTCAGGTTCTTTTTGTGGTTCAGGTTCTTTTGGTGGTTCAGGCTCTTTTGGTGGTTCAGGTTCTTTTGGCGGTTCAGGCTCTTTTGGCGGTTCAGGTTCTTTTGGCGGTTCAGGTTCTTTTGGTGGTTCAGGTTCTTTTGGCGGTTCTGGTTCTTTTGGTGACTCAGGCTCTTTCGGTGGTTCAGGTTCTTTTGGTGGCTCTGGTTCTTTTGGCGGTTCAGGTTCTTTTGGTGGTGGTGCTCCAGGGGGCTCACCTTGTCGTTTTTGAAGTATTATAATTGAATCCTTCAGATAATATGTCGGTGTTGCACCATTAAAGGCAATAAGTACCGCAATAAGAACTATGATAAGTAAACAAAGTTGCTTGTATTTAAGTTCAACATAAATCATCTTAAGTCTAGTTGAAAAGTAAAAACTTTTAGAAAGTATTCTTTTTTATGGTCATTTCGAGAAAAAAAAAAATTTTTATTTTTTTAGAATAATTTATAACCAAAGTTGTCGTTGCCTAACAAATTAATTTTTAACAGCTGATAAATCAAATGTCTAATTAAGAAAATCTATAGTCGTCATATAGAATTCCTAAGTTGATCAACTAAGTACCGTAAATTTCTCTGGTAACGTATCCTATTGGCTAATTTCGGAGATTTTCATGGTGAATATTAGCCCTGTTCATTTCTAGATCGGATCGGATCGACCGAAAATTGAAATCAAAAATTATTGGCTACTGAAACGATCAGGTGAGCGATCAACACGATCAACATTTTTGTTACTCACCTTTGATCGATTTTAATAAATTAGCTAATTTTACAAGATAACGCGATTTTTTTTTAAATTTTACCGCGTTCAAAAATGTCTAACTCAAATTCAACTTTTCGTTCAATTGCTCCAAAACCACAAGAATTTTTTATACAAAATCCAGACATTATAGCTGTAACAAACCCAATTCCTCGGTTTTACATACTTTTAATCCATTGCCACCGGTTGAACCTACTACTAATACTACACTAACACCCGCTAAACCAAAAATTTATAAAAAAAAAGAGGGAAAAAGGTACTTCAAATAATACTTCTCAATCTGGATCTGTTAATGAAGAAGAAGGCTGGAATGATGAAAACACAAAATTATTG